AAATTTGTTGTCTCCCAGAGCCCAGTGTCACCTTTCAGTTTAATCACTGAATTCCGAAATACCACTTTTGAAGGTAAAAAAAAAGTACTGTCCTGTGCAGGGTTCACTAAATTGATGAGGGGAAAGAAATTTGATTTTAAACACTCTTAGGATAAGTCAGTTCTACACTAAACAAGTCCAAGCCTTTCAGTGAATTTTATTCTCAGACTTTTTTCTTTTTATATAATTTTTACAAGGATGTTATCTTCAATATTTGATGTTCAGAATGACTCTGAAGTGACCTGGAAGAGCTTTAATGGAGAAGTTTTAACTTTTTCCAGTTTACAAAACTGTGTAGGCCTGGGTACCTGCAGTGTGAGTGTAGGCCAGTCGACAGTGGGTTGGCTCTTCTTACTCAACTTGTTCCTCTCACGGGTTGTCTAGCAATGGTGAGCTTTTGTTTTGTAGGCCATGGGCTTAAAGTCACAGAATTCAATCATTAGGAGAAGACAGAGACAAAACTAACATGAAGAAGTGAAAACATTATCTCTCTGGCAGTACAATCACAGTTGTTGCTTCACATCAAAGATCTGTACCAAAATGATGACTGAAAGTTTTGTGTATATGTTCCACCTATGTTCAGAAAATGCGTGTGTAGAAGTTTCCTAGAGTTTCCTAAGATAAGAAAGGTTGCAGGCTTATTTTTGCTTCAGCTGTGGTATCCAATACCTAGAAAAATAGAATTAACTAACTTAATAGAATTAACAGCAAACCTTTCTGAATATCAGTAAACTCATCTCTTCATTTTAAGTTTGAAAGTTAAGTTTCACAAACATTTTTATTCATCCAAAATACAGCACTGTAATGCCTGCTATAATTTATAGGTTTAGTTAAAAAAAAAAAAAAATCCTAAAAGTGATAGGTGTTGAATCACCTTCATTTTTTCTTGTGATGGAGTCTGGTACAGTAGGGATTTCATACAATAATTATTTTGATATTAAGAAGGTGGACCATGAAAAAGTTAGCATCAGTTTTTGAGGTGAAAAGGGAGAAGGTAATTGCTGAACTAAAATAATACTGATGAACTTAGGAGAAGTAAAACAATTCATTTCAACAGCAGCAAAAGGACAATCTGAAGCTGATTGAAAATTTGTCCTCTAACAAAAAGGGAAAAATGAAGGTGAGATTTTCAGGAGTGGTGGATATTGGCTAAGCTTGTGCTCATGTTGAGGCAACTGACTTCATGGGTATTAAAATCAAGCTGTGCTGAGGGATTTGGGAAAATCATTGCAATGTGCTACACAGGCAGTTTCTCATTGTGCCCATTTGCTGACATACAGTGAGAGGAGGCTAAAGGCAAAAAGAACATAGTTAAAACATTATTATTAGAGCTTTCAAATGAGTAAAGGGAATGGAAATATCCTTGTATTTTCTTTATTGCTGATAGATTCAAACTGCAGGTGGAAACAGACTATTTTGCTTCTCACTTCCCAAATGGTCTCTTCAAGGGAGGTGACTGACATTCTTGGTTATGCTGAAGAAATCTGACAATATATATTTCCTGTAGCTAGAGGGAGACTTTCCTCTTCGATGCTGTCAGTTCAACACATTTTATTGCATTTTGTAAAGAAAGTGTAGTGTGATATTAAAAGAGAAGTAGCACCACAATGAGCTGATATGTATCTAGCACATACGTGAAGAAGAAAAGTATCCTAAGTATCCTTTATTTATAAGAAATCCTTTTATTTGTCCCATCCTTCCTGCCCCTTATTTGTGTTTCTGAAAATGACTAATTCCATGTGTCTGCAGGTGTAATGGGTCCTGTGACTCTAGATGAATTTGGAGACATTGATACCAATCTGACCGTGCTGTACACGTCACAGACTGCAAATTATGTATGTATGTCCAGGGTGCAACTGTTCGACTTTATATATGAAAGGAAAAACAAAATGCCTTGTACTACTGCATAAGAATGATGAAAATAATTACAGCAGGAGTGGTGGAGTGCCAGGGCATGCTGTGCATGACAGAAGGGGGTCATGTGAGGTGTGCTGGAGGCTGACAGGATTGATGTAATCTGGTGATTCACTAAGTGAAGTGCAGCTGGTATTTTGTGGGATTGGTAAATTTTCAGAGAGAGGGGAGGAATGAGAAAGAATATGGAAGCCAAACATATGGCTACACTGAGAAATGCACCACTGTAGCAGGAAAGTTAATTTGAGTTTGGGCAATACATTTATTGAGGGTAATCTGAAGCAAGGGACAAAAGAGGGAGAACACAGTTGCTGACTGCATTTCTTCCCTCTTCCATACTGTAGTTCAAACCTCTTCTGTATTTCAACACTCAAAGCAATGAGACATACGAGGCGACTAACAGTCCTGATTTTATCTGGAAGAACCACAGGCTGCCCAGTGATACTCCAGGCACTGGTGAGACACCCATTAAACCTACCACCTACCTCTTTGAAGACAAGTCACATAGTCCTGAGATCTACCTGCTGTATGATCCAGCATGCTTTCAGCTGGGTGCAGAACAGCATCTTTCTTTCTCCTGCCTCATCCCCCCATGTTCTCTGCCTCCAGTCCAGTTCAAAAACTTTATTTCTGTTTAGGTGCTGATACTAAGTCCCTTGAAAACTCGATCCTGTACCAGTGATTATGGGAAATACCATGGGGTATTTCACAGAAAGTCACCCCCAACCAAATAATCTTCACTATAAGGTGGTAGTGATACCCCCAACCAAATAATCTTCACTATAAGGTGGTAGTGATGTGAACTGCTTGGAAGACTGTTCGGGAAAGGCAGCAGAATTAAG